TTTAAATCAATGCTTCTGTCTCTGGGACTTGATAGGGATGGTAGTAATGTTAATGTTTTGAGTTCTTTGTACACTTTTACCCTCCCTCCTTGATGCAGGCTTTCTGACATCCTTGACTATTTGAATTATAAACAGGATATACGCTGACCCACTATGTTGTATCAGTCACCTCTTAGATCCTTTTTTGATTCTCTTATTCTATGATTGCTGATCAGCCATAATTATTTTCCATTAGAATGACACACATAAATTTTTTTTAAATCTTATTTTGAAAAAATTAAGGTAACAATTATCAGAAAATTTAATTTTAAGGAGGAAAAAGAAACATCAAGTGTGACTAAAGTTTGAAATCTGTGATAAATTGAAACTAAGAGGATTTCATGTTAATACTGACAATTCACTTATAATTCCCATATTGACCAAGAAACTCCTATGTGATGAACACTGTGTTAATCTGAGTCTGGATGTCCCCCTAGAGCCTCATGTAGTCAGGGAGGCAGGCTTCCAGAGTTTATAAACAACTTATGGTCCACCATTGCTAATTATGGATGTGGCCTACACATGATACAAGGGACAGAAAGAGTCTACTCTCTGTGTGCCTCCACTTCTGCTGCTTTTGCTTGTGCTGTTTTCTGCCACCATGACCTGTTGCTCTCTGTCATGTGCACTTTGTCTTGGAGCCTGCTGATTATGGACTAAAACTTCCACAAACTCTGTGCTAAACAAACATTCCCTTCCTTCATTTTGGATGCCAAGTATTTTGTCTCAGCAATGAAAGAAACGTAATCAACACGTGCTGCACTTTTACATCATGATGATCATAATAATCATGATGATGACCATGACAATGACGATCACAATAACAACCTTTAACGTTTGTTAAAGACTTACGACAACATGAAGGAGATAGGCATGGGTCCCGCTCTTGTAGAAAATTTTAAGCTAGCAGGGAAGTCATACCTAAAAAATAATTTCAACGCTATCATTGCTTTGTGGATTATAGCTACATTAAGGAAGGGTTTACAGATATCCTTACCTAGTCTGAGGGTCCATGAAGTCAGTGAGTGTCATAATCAGATTTTTTGAGTTCTAAGATGACTCTGAATGGGCTGGAAGGAAAGAAAAGGGATGTGTAAAGGACAGAGATGAAGGTTACTTGAGCTAAAAAAAAAGTGGCAGTATTTATAAAACAACTCCAAGTTAAAGAACGAAGCTCATGCAAGTTTTTTTTAAATGATTTCCCCTCTGTATTCCAGTTATTTGTTAATGCTTAAGGGAATTTACCTCTCTCAAAACCACTGCTTTACAGAGCACATAAGGCAGATGTGAGAACAGATAAGTAAATGGAAGCAGAAAAAAATGCAAAGGAAAACACAAAGGCCCAGCTCCAGTTTCTGTTGGCTCTCAGCTCCTTCAGTTCCCTAGGAAAGAAAGATGCTCTGAGACCCTCCACAGAGAAAATGAGACCCAGAAAGGCAGTTTCCTAGATGCACTTAATAGGCCATAAAAGTACTCTACCGTGATAAAACAAGGAAATGAACTCTTGAAAGAGATTATTTGCAAATATAAAGCAAACATTTTTGTTAACGATACTATAGTTATTTTCCCTCAAAAAGAAGGCTCATTTAGAAGGATAGAGTGGTAGATCACACTTAGCACTCTTTCACTGAGTGTAATGATAAACGTTTTATCTCCCGCTGGGTTCAAGGAATGATTATAAAGTTATGAATTGATCAATTAAAATTATTCTATGGCACAGCTATAATCTGAAAACCATTGGTATTACAACAGTGAGTTAACATAGACATGATTCGGGCTGGGGATTTAGCTCAGTGGCATAAGCGCCTGCTGCCAAGTGTGAGGTTGTGAGTTTGATCCCTGGTACCAAAAAAAAAGACATGATTCTTGTTGACAGAAGTTCCAGTAAAAAAAGATGAGAGTCTAGATAAAAATCAAACAATAACACATTTAAAAGTGCATCAGTAGGTATACGTGAGGACTTAATGAAAGCAAAATGTGGCTTAGACAATAAGCTACTGAACTGAAAACAGAAGAATGAGTACTAATTGAATGGATGAGGAAAAACAGGAGGACTGTGGTAACATAAATTAACTTGACAAACAATTATAAAGTAGCTGCCTGCCAGGATCCAAGGGCTTCAACATGTTACTGAAATAAATGAGTGAAACTTGGTCCACCAGTTAGGAGAAAATCTTGGTACTTGCTGGCTACAAGAATCTGACCCTCCATATCTTAATCTGTAAAACAAGAAGACAATGTCCACGTTGCAGAATTATTAATGTTTGAAGCCCTCAGCTCACTGCCTGGTACTTAAGCAGCAAATTTTATAATGACCAGACTTGGTAAGTCAGAATGGCATATGCCAGAAACTGTGTTTCTCGGGGCTCTAAAGCTGAGAGGCTTTGGTCAGACTGCCTGGGGTTAAAGCCCAGGTGTAACATTTACTGGATCTGAGACTTTGGCCAAATGACAAATGTTACAAGGTTCTGTTCCTTCAACTGTAAAAGAAAGATAACAGAAACACTGAGTTTATAGTTTTCTTGTGAAGATCAAAGGAGTTAATGCCTAAAAAGTGTGAAAGATTGCTTATCTAAAATGTAAAATGTAGCCTATATATTTTGCATGTATACAATATTGTATCTATACAGATAAATAAGCAGTTAATTATATTTGTTAACACTTTGTGAAAGTGACACTAAATAAGACCACAGACTTCACAGAAAACCTTGATCTAAGCCTTAAATAATGAATAAGTGTTAGACAGACAAAAAAAATGCTGATAAATTTTCTTTGCTCAAGCCTTAGGGAAGCAATTTGCTTTTGTGAGTATTACCACAGAGTTGAAGCCTCCAGGAGAATATTTTAAAAAGTCCAGTGAGTTCCTTCTAAAATATAACTTTCCTGCAGCTGACTCCACAATCTCCAAGGCAGAATAATGTGGGAGATAACAACACAGGTTTTGAAATCAGACTTGGGTTCTAATCCCAAACCTTCTGCCTTCAGCTGCATGATCTTATGCCAATTATTTCCCTTCTTTGAGCTTTGGTAAATAAATCTTTAAAATAAGTAGTAATGGTGCCCTCCTCATTAATGCATTATGAGGATTAAATACCATAATACATGTAAAGCACTATGCTTGGTATATAATAAGCACTCGATAAATGTTAGATACTGTTACGATGGTTTATGCCCTATTAAAACTATGCTGGCATTACCCATTAGATTTTGTTCAGGGCATGAGGTGATTACACTAAACACTAGGGTATACCCTATACTTCCCAGTGGTGCACACAAAGAAATATAATGAGTAACGAGACGGTAAGAGTACCTACATGGCAATAACTGCAGGCATTTGTCTTCGTGGCCCAAATAAATTTTGAGAATTGTACATAGTGGGCCCTCAATGAATACTGAGTTAGTTAATGAGTGTTTTTTGTGCTGATTTTAAACCAAAACTTTCTGCATTCATAAACATTATATGTATCTCTGTAGATAATTCATAAACTAAAATAGTATAACTTCGACAGAAGTAGAACAATGATTGCTATCATCTCAATACATTTTCTTCCAAAGTGTGCTTACATATGCACACATCCATATGTGTACACATATGACATCTATGGGGAATCATAATATTTGAATAAATACACATTTAATTTTGGTCATGACAAGTAAAAGCTATTTGGCTTCCTTTTAATAAGGATATTTTACAAATGTGACATACACATTGCATTACATTCTATAAAAGTGTACCATTTAGTTTATTTAACTATGATCCCATTGTTAGACCTTTAGTGTATATCAAAGCTAATTAATTTTCAAATATAAGCTCTGTGTTACCATACTGATGGCGTTTTTAGTTTGGGGGTTGTAAACAATTTGAAAACCTACTTATTAAAAATCTCTATATTATCTCCTTCCATAGAAAAATTATAAGCACATAATTTACATAAATGTTGTTAATTTCAGCAGGCTTATAAATTTCATGAAGCCCATACACGAACCTCAGTTTCATGGTCTTCATATCAAAACCAGTGATATTAAAATACGTCAATATAAAGCAAAATAAGAAAATGCAAAGACTTTAATGGTTTTGGAAAGGAATAATCTCTAAAATGCTGCTGGTTATAGAATATTTGATCATTTTCATAACATGGTTCAATCTCTGTTGATACTTACATTTTAAATAGTCCCAGTTTTAGACTCTTCTATATTTCTCTACAACTCTTATTGAATAAGAGTAGTGTGATGCATGCTTATGATCGTTAGTGATGGAAAGTCTCACAGAGCTCCCAATGCACCACCTCTCCTCACTGTGAGATCCTGCATCCTGGAAACATGTGATATGACTTTGTCTATGCCTGCAACCTCTCCCCTTCATTGCTCTTAACTGTCGTATGCACCATTTGTCTTGAGAAAATATACAGCATGATTCATCATTGGATAATACAGCTACTTAAAGGAAAGAAATCACTTTACAATGTTGAAAGTAAATTCAAAACACTTAGAATAAATACAGTGTAAAAACATTAAAGGATATATTCATTACATTAGGTCATGAATACTGTAACCTCAGGATGCATAATTCTAACATGGCCTTTGTGTAGTTCTCGCCAAGGAGGATTATCTGCTTTAATATGCAGTATGAACCTCAGTCTAATGCCAAATTGTACATTCTCTAGATAATTCTAATAGGTTCTCAGAATAAAGGAAAGTAGTGGTTTACATTTTGGTTTGTTGTTTCCACCTGTTGCTTCTGTAGATAGAGCAATTCCTAATGTGAAATCTGGGATAAGAAGGAGCATATTCCCATGTCAGTGGCACACATGCCTGTGATCATATTCCCATGTCTATATCCATGTTTATGCCTCATGTGTTTTGGAAGCCTGTACATTATCACCAGATTCCAAAGAATAATGGAAAAAAAAAACAAAATAATTCTAAATTTTATTAAAGTCATTTATTTTTCCCCTTCATAGCTGCACCATCCATCCCAAGGCTTCCGGTTTGGAACTGTTCGGGAAAGCAGTGCTGAAGATTATGTGAGGCAAAGTTTCCCAGAGATGCATGAGTACATGAGAAGGTACAATGTCCCAGCCACCCCTGATGGAGTGCAAAATCTGAAGTGAGTGTCAATCTCCTCGTCCTAAAAGTTCTCACTGCGTAGAGTTAAGTACTACTGTATTCATTGCTTTTTAAAATGACAAATATACCACTATGTGTTTAGAAGTATCTCGTACTGTGTGCAAGCCAGGAGTCAATGTGGAAAAGTGAGCACTGAACTATGTAACTATATTAGTAGTTACCTGCATAGTGACAAGTTGGCAGTAGCTTTGATTAAACAGTCAATAGGGTCATTAGCGTAGCAGATGGTAGGAGAAGCAAATGTTGGCTTGACCTCACTTGTGAAAACAATGGTGCTGACATGATCAAACACACAGGGAATGGAGCCAGAGGATAAAGTGGCCGAAAGCAACCCTTTCTTTTACAGCGAATTCCTAAGCTCATGGAATGCCTCTCCTTGACATAAAGAAATGTAATTTATCTTAGCGATTTCCTGTTAGAAAAGAAATAAGGTAGAAAGCTACAATTTCCATTCCTGCATCTTTCTCATAAGAATTTATGAGGAGCAATCAAAGGCAATCACATTGCCGTGGAAGAGTATCAGAGTCTGTAATTCAATGAAGCTGACTGCAAAGGAGAGCAGTGCGGCCATGGGTCTGCTTGTCTCATCTGCCTGGAAATAGGGAATGAATGCCACCCAGTAACCATCACTGCATAAAAGTAAGGTCTCTGTCTCCTAATGGCATCAGGATTATAACGCACATTCAAATCTCCAATGTATTCGATTGTGTGGTATCAAGAAACTAGTTTCTCCACGGTCAACAATCTTCCCAATGAACAGCAGGGCCTGATGCCTCAAATTCTATTTTAGAAAAGAGTCGGAATAAAGATTTCATGGGACATAAGGGCTTTGTGTTTCTTAAGAGCTCTGGTAATAGGCCCCTTAAACAATTTTATTGACTTTTAACTAGAGCTCGGAGAAGAAGCTGTGTGCTCTTAGATTTGCAAAGTTATATACGACGTTTAAGTACAAGAAAATGGCACTTGTAATGCTGCAAGAAAATCAAAACGTTAGAGTCCCTCTCTGATACAGAGTTTAGGACTGCAGAGCCTCCCAGGTCTTTTTCTGTATTCTTTCCTTCAGGCAAATGCATGGTTGAGAGAGAGAATAAGACACCAGGGAGATAGCAATGGCTCCCAGCTAGACAGTAATGGTTGACAGGCTGGGCTTTACTGGCAGTGTTATGAAAGTTAGATGAACCACTGCTGCGCTTCCCTGCAGTTCCATTCCACTTGATGCATTCATTTGACCCAGTGCCTTTATCTCATGAGGTCCTCTAGTGTCCAGTACTGACCTTATCCTAGCCTGCAGAGTGGCAACCATTAGAAAAGCAGGCACAACGAAGAAGATCAGAAAGGAGTTCGTTTTCCATGATTGTGTGGCTAACAGGTGGTAGAGTCAGGACTAGAATCAGGTCTCTGGCACCCAACCACTGCTTCAGACTAAAGGAAGTGCAAGTCCTTAACGTTCAGTGAATAGTTCCTGTCCCACCAGCATCTGCATTGCTGTTAACATCCATGAGTTAGTTAGAAGCAGAAAATCTCCCCAGGTGTGGTAGTGCACCCCTGTAATTTCATCACTCGAGGAGCTGAGGCAAGAGGACCATAAGCCTGAGGCCTGCCGGAGCTCCATAGTGAGCCACTGGCTCAACCAAACAGAAAAAATAAATCTCAGGCCCCAAACCTGCTCCATCAGGAATGGCATTTTAACAAGCTCCCCAGATGATTCACTGGTTGATGTGAAATAGGAATCTAGGTGAGCTCATCAGCAATGCCTTCTTTCTGCTCTCTGTACTTTCTCTCCACTTCTGTCCTAGTTACTACTAGCACTCTTAGATACCAATCTAAACAACCAGTGCTCACGTTACCTTTGGTGTCTCAGAGCTCTGACCCACTAGGCATTGTCCCTGAAACCTGTGCAACCTGTCCTTCCCCACTCTCATCACAATCCCCCCAGGCTTAGACCTATACTTTCTTGATAATAAGTTAATCTCAATTAAATGTTCATTTCTTTAGTATGACTGGTTTCTGTAATATATGATATTTATTTTTAAATTAATGCTCAAATAAAAGCCTCCCTATTTCTATAATGGGAGAAATAACTTGAGGCCCTGCCAACCACAACAGTGATTCAGCCAGTCTGAAAGCTACTTGTACCTGGATCAAACCCAGCCATGGCTTTAACAGTGACTCCAGGCCCCAAGAGAGTCAGTGAGCTGATTCTTTCTGTCTTCTGACTCAGCAGAAATCTGTCATAGTAAACTGCATTTGGCTGCCCAAAGCCAAGTGTAGTATTTAAGGATACCAGTGACACTGAGCAGAAAATACTGATTCAAACCACCAAACTGAAATTAAATCTTATTTTCATTGTCATACTGAGACCATAAATACTTGTAGGATATTGGATTTTGATTTTCTTGCCACAATTCCTCCTAAGGTTATGCAGCATCAACCCTCAGAAAACTATTCACATCCCCAACCTTTTCTGAAGCTGCCCACTGCTATGAATCAGAAAGATGGTTTTATTTTGGTTACAGGTAAACAATATCCAGATAAAATTTTTTTAAATGTCCCTGAAAAAGGTGGTAACATTTTGAACTGTCCATGTTATTTCCTGAAAGCACAGGAAAAGGAAACAATTGACATCAAATAAACAAGTTGATGTTATTTACTATACAGCTATACGTGGCCCAAAGACATCTATGTAGAAGTGTTTCTTGCCCAGTGGATCTTCTAGGAATCACAGTCTCTAGGATGTCTTTCTCACTTCAGTTTTTGATGAGTTTAACCATATTCTCCTCCAGTTTTAAGGCATTCATCTCCCCAAAATGAGAAGACTTAGTCCATTGCCAATTCACTGGTACAGCCTAGAAATACATACCTTAAATTATTCTCACCTAAACTACCACTATGATGGAAGTGAAGCATGAATCTCTGGAGACAGAGTAATAAATTAGGCCAGTAAGATCTATTTATTATATAAGCTTTCCCTTCTACTTAAGGAATGCTACTCCATGGATTCAGAGAACCATAGCTTCCTATTCTCCAAAAATGTTAAGATCTTTTTTTTAAGGATTTCTTCAGTATCTATTCCTGAATAGGAAATAATATCTGAGGTCTGAAGAATATGATTATGATTGTGATGAAAAGAAATGCAGCTTTCAAATCTATAAGGAGACCACTTGACTCCAACCTTTATAAGCACTATAAATTTGTCTATCTTACTTTATCACTTTGAACCTCAGTTTCCCATTTGCTGTATCACAGTCTTTAGTAGTAAAAATCTATGGAGGAAACAAACACAAAGCTTAACACAGAAAGTTGCTATGATAATATGAAAGGACTTGACCCTCTCTGTATACTTACGTATTCAATTCAGAGTTTTTCTGGCTTCAGTGTAGGATTTAAAGTTATGAACCCATAATAAGGACATCATTCAGTCTATAAGTGCCTGTTTCCCTGGTCTCTGTGCACAGGCCAGTGCAATGGCAAGAAACCTGAGTCCGAAGCGAGCAAGCATCGACTACCCTTTGTGTCCAGGATTCTGTCCCCTAAACCAAAGCCAACCGTCAGGCCTACTGTTTCCTGCTGATTAATAAATCACTTTTGCTTTTCTTCTCCTGTTCTTAAATACAGAAATGATCCAGAGAAGCTAGATGCCTTCATCATGGACAAAGCCCTTCTGGATTACGAAGTGTCCATAGACGCTGACTGCAAGCTTCTGACAGTGGGGAAGCCATTTGCCATAGAAGGTATTTATCAGTCACTTTGCTCACTTTTACTCTGGACATGCTCAGTTTGCTAACCTAGTAAGCCACCAGTGACAAAGTCAGAGGCAAGGAGCTATTCATCTTCCCTATTTTCACTTTCAACTCATAAGCCCTTAGTCTATTAAGCTGACCACGTTAAGAATTTTCCATCAACCCAATAAATATCTATTTATGCATTCATTAGGGAAAAAGTTCTTTACCAAATGATAGTGGTTCAGCTGGAGGTGGCAGGAAAGAGGGGACTGATTTTAATTTAACCTGTATTTTTTTTTATTTTTTGTCTTAGCTTTTTTGTTTGCCTATCCTGTGAAGAAAGGGGTCCAACCTATGGCCTATGCATGCTACACAAGGGCTTGACCACTGAGCTATAACCCCAATGCCTAAATTTTATTTTCTAGTGGCCAAATACGGTAATGAATCTTTTACAAACAACAATAATTATATTTGATGACTCCAAGAGCCCCAATACTGATCTAATAGAACTTTTCATTTTAAACCAAAAAAGGCCCAAAGACATCATGGCATATTTTCATAATCATCCAATTAGATGATTATACTGGAATTAAAATTCAAAACTCATGGTTTCCAAGTGTTTTCCACTAGTTGGAAAGTAAGTAAAATAATAAATAAATAATATTTTATTCTATGATTTAGTGCCCTTACGATTCTAAAATAACCTTGTTTGAAACCCTAGATTTTGTTTTCCTCACTGGCAGCAATTTTTGCTTCCAACTAGATCAACCAATCAATCAAACTTAAGTACCAAAGAAGGATCGCTTTGTCAGTAGCTTCGTTCATTCTGAATGACAGTTGATATATGGAGCTGATAGTTTGAGCCAGCAAATTTCACATCTCCCAATTCCAAGCTTCCTCTGCCTGACAATACTACTAACTCTCAAGACAGCCATGCCCATTGGTCAGAAAGCACTGGTTTTCAAGTAATCCCATGGGGGTGCCCAAGTCCTCTTTCCAGAAATTTGTGCTATGTTCTATGTTAATTAGGATCTCAAAACTATTGTGATTCTATTTCCTAACTTAGTTGGTCTCTGTTTCCCCTAAATGTATTGGCAGAAGTTTTTTTCTTCAGTCAGTCTTTAGGTTTTGAATGAAATGTTAACACCTGGTACTGTTTCTTCAAGCCTTCTCCTGGGAGAAATTAGTCTGCTCTCCAGGCAAAATGACCCTTACCTGAAATAAGTATGGATTCTGGGAAGGGAAATCATGATGGCAGAGAGAAAAAGAGAGAAAGCAAAAGTCAGAAAACCGCTAAGATAGCAGCTTACCCTCATTTTAATGTAACAGTGGAAAAATTCCTATTTTGTGCCATTTAGACACACAGAAGAGATGTCATATTTTATTTCTGTCCTAAATGCACTGGCTAATTGAAGTCCCTCCTACCACTAGCAGCTACTAACAATGAGTCATTTGTAGACAGCATAAAAATGAGAAGCTCCATTTGCCACCTTTATCTCCGAGGGACAACCCTAGCTTATCAGGAGGCACTGGGAAGATGGCTTGTTTGCCTCTGCTGGACCCCAGGGCCAGATGCCACCCAATTAACTCCCCACTGGCTTCCTGCTTATATTTCCATCTGTGCTGGTGAGACTTAGTGTCTTACAGTTCCCATAATCTCTAGATACCACATTGTCCCAAAGAAAATAAATATAAGATGGCACATGGAGCACTCTTCCTAGAAGACAGCAGGAAGACTTCAGATCTGAATAGAGAAAACATTATCATCATTGTCAGGCTAGACTCTGAATGGATGGAGCACAGATGAGAAGGCTCAATTCAATAATTGCCCACAGGAACAAGTTCAAAACCTAAAAAATAAACTTGCAAAAACACAAAGAGAAGATGGTTATACATTATACACAACAGGAGAAAGAAAAGGACTTAAAGCTTGATTGCTGTTTTTTTTTTAAATGTTAATCTCAAAGATTTTTAGGAAGTATTTCCTAATTTTCTTAAATGTTTTAAAAGAATTTGACATAAGTATTATATGCTTTTTTTGACAGCATTTAGGTCTTTTGAACTTTAAATGCGAGCTTTATTGTTAAATGAGACTGCACAGGTATAAAAAAAATCATCAAAGCAATTGATGACTAATATTTGCTTATTATACTCACAGGAATGTTTTTGCATATACTTAACCTATATCCCTTGATAGGGTCTAGTGAAGTGGTAGACATAAATCAGGTATCTAATATATCATGTATCTAACTCACTATGTAACTCAGTTTAAATTTGAAATAAGTTCTTACTTCATTTACTAAAATGTTTCATCAAAATTATCCTGATACTTTGCACATACTTTCTCAAGTGTTTAAATGATTTCTAGAACATAAGTAGGAAATTAATCAGGGTCCATTTATTGCATCAGCCGTGATTTATTCATATATATATATATATATTCTGTGCGGTATTAGGAATCCCATTTATTCTGCCTGCTGTTATTCTTTGAATGCTCACTTTCTACCTGAAGTTCCTGTGCTGCAACCTAATCCCCAATATGATTATGATGGTACTAGGAGGCAGAGCTTTAGGAGAGATGATCAGGTCATGAGGGCTTAAATTTTACAAAATGGGATTTGTGCATTTATAACATATGCTTGAGGATGCTAACTGGACCTTTCCAAAGCCAGAAGCCAGCAGTTAACTGGAAGCAGTCTTCACCAAATGCTGAATCTGCTGACACTTGATCAATTTCCAAAACTATGAGAAATAAGTGTTTGTTTATGATGCACTCAGTCTTCCAGTTTTTGTTCTAGCAGACTAAAAGACTAAAATATAATGAATACCTCTACCAACTTCACCCTTCTGCACTTCTTTAGACGCAAAAAGTAAAGTAAGGCCGGTGAAAGAGAGTGACACCACACTGAGTTTGAAATTCTCTCAGGAGTCTTCTTTTCCACTAAAAAACACACAACAGAACAGATGAAAACTATTAAAGATTCCAGAAGCTTGGTGTGATGGTACGTGCCTGTAATCCCAGAACTCTGGGAAGCTGAGGCAGGAGGACTGCAATTTGAAGTCCCACCTGGCCAACTTGTTTGCTAAAAGTTATTAATACAGTGCTTGGAGCACTAGCTCTGGAGTCTGAGGGCTGAGATTAGAATTACTATCACTAATTGGAAAATTTCTTAATCAGTTCCTCATTTGCATAATGAGCATAGAAATAGCACATCTGTGATAAAGTTGTCATGAGGACTAAATGAAATAATACATGTAAAGCAGGTAGCAGCATGCCTGATATATAGGAAGTACTCAAAAGTTAGTATTATTCAGTATGTTAATAAATTGGGGCCCATATCCTACTAAACTCTCCCAGGGTAACCTTCATAGATCTCAGTTTCTCCCTGACACTTCTTTCTCCAATATGATGTGCCCAGAGTGGGGATGGGGACATTTTTAAAATCTCCCTTACAATTGGGGTCATTACAATATGTTCTCAAGCATTGTTTAAGAGCAGCTTAATCTGGTATTCTGCTCTCTCTCTCTCTCTCTCTCTCTCTCTCTCTCTCTCTCTGTCTCTCTCTCTGTCTCTCTCTCTCTCTTTCTCTCTCTCTCTCTCTCTCTCTCTCTCTCTCTCTCTCTCTCTCTCACCTTTTTAACCCTATCTGAGATCTTATTTTCAAAATACCTATTTTCCAACCTCATTTCAGGCAGATTCTCTTGGTCTACGAATGTCTACTATACATTTGCTTGCCAAAATATATTCTCATTCCTTTTAGCTGAATAATGCTGATTTATCCATGGGGAAAAGATCAGAATTCTATTCTGAAAATTGTGCTTTGGGGCTATTAAGCTGTATCCAATTTCCAGAGGCCTGATGCCTTCATTTTAGGGTTGAAGGATTCCATTTTGCTTCATCCATCAGCCACGAAATAGTCAGCCCTGTCTTTATTGCAAAGCTACATTTATAATCATAATGAAAGCAAATCTGGCCAAGTTGAGTCAGCAGTTTAAATGTAAGAATTCTTTGACCAATGAACACAATGAAAGTTGAAAAGCAGCTGATAAAACCGAAAGGTGGAAATGATATCTTCATATTTCTGAATAAAATGGATTTTTATGGATTAACAAGTACCCTGTCTCACTGCCACATAAGTTTTTCTCATTTCTCCTCTCATATCAATGTATGGTTTGCTTTAATTAACTAATAATTATAATTAGTGCTAGAAATCATTAAAATATCAATATCCAATACATATGTTAAAATAGAAAACTAAAAAGCCAGTAATCTTCTTTTGGCAGCCAAATACAAATTAACCTAGGCATGATGGAATGGAGTAATTTAATATTTATTATTTTCCATATAGCAATTTTTTATAAATGTCTTTGCCACTTCAATATAGCTTTTATATCAAGGGAATTTTAATACTTCTGTTATGGTGCCAAAATTCTATTGTGAGACTACATAGATTTATCATAAGTATCTACTTTTCAATTTTTAAACTTTCTTATCATGTATTTTTATCTTATATATCAAAATATTGCTAGCAAGAATCAAAGGTACCTCTCACTACCTCTCATTTTGTAGTAATTTTTTAGACCCTGAACTTCTACATAGTTTTATATTCTCCTTTTTTGTATCTCAGTTGTTATATCTTACCTTTCTTTAATTTATGCCTCACTCTTCATTTCCAAGAAAAATTATTGACTTTATGCCACGTTGTGTAGTTATCAATGTATGCCATGTCTCTCCTATGCTACCCTAAACTCCATCTAGATAGGTTCTATGTTTAATTTAACTTAGTAACCTCCATAACATTTGGCAGAGTATCTGGCACTGAATGAACATTAAACACATTTATGGAACAAATGAATAGATGAATAGGTGTTCGAGAAATGCTTATTGAATGAAAAATAAAAACATTTCTCCCATTATTATACCAGTGTGGATCAGAACTACTAGCTTTAAGAAGATTTTAATTAGAACAGTAGTGTTTAATGAGAGTTCTTGCTAGTTAATTTCCTGTAATATGTAACACACAAGTTAACACTGTTCTTATGCTCCATCTACACTACTTATTAAAAAGTTAATAAACAAAATCTGCTTGTGAATAGTATATAGTTGTATCTGCTGAAAAAAAACCACTTGTTTCATTTTTTTCTAATAAATTACCGGAGTTGAGGGGATTATTTTTATATGGTGTTAGTGATAAGGCCCATACTGAAGGGGAGGGAATACAACAGGATTTTCTTGTCTTGTTTTTTTTTTTTTTCTTTGAGAATGAAATCAAACAAAATGAAACAGAATAAAGCCAATCAAAACAAAACAATGAGAGACTTCAAAATAAGGTAATAGAAAATCCACAATGGCTACCATAATCCCTCGTGTTATGGTCAAACTAGCTGTTCATACCATAAGACATAATAAACAAAACAGAACAGAATAAAACCAATCAATCAAATCAAAACAATGAAAGCTCTCTAGGACTTCAAAATAAGATAATAGGACATCAACAATGGCTACCATAATATATCTTATTATCTTCAAAATAGCTGCCCATGCCATCAGATATAATGAAATCAAACCAAACAGAATAAAACCAATCAAAGCAAAACAGTGAAAAAAATATAAGACTTCAAAACAACATAATAAGAAATCACTAATGGCTATCATAATGTATCTTGTTATCTTCAAAGCCGCTGCCTATATCATCAGAAATAACAGAATCTAACAAAGTAAATAAATAAATAAATAAATCTAAACCAAACAAAACAATTAAAGTCATACAGAACTTGAAAACAAGGTAATAGGAAATTAACAATGGCGACCACCTTCCCTTTTTAGACATTTTCTCCCCTTTCACCTTATAATGTCTATGGAACAGTTTGGATCCCGTCAACTTCTTCAGTTTGTTTTTTTCTCTATACTTTTACAGGAATTAAAACAGAGCAATAAAACAATCAAAACTGTGATAAGATAGTAGGAAATCTACAATAGTTACTACATTGCACATTGTTGTCCTCCTATAATTGCTTGGCTTTAGGCTAGCAAAGTCAGTCAAGCAATACAGTTCCTCCAAATCAGCTGGTTGTTCACAGGCAGAGGCTTAGCTTCCTTCCTCATTCTCCCCGATCCATACTCCAATAGCTCACAGGCAGGGTTTAGCTTCTTGCCTCGCTCTTCCTGATCCGTCAAGGATTCCCTTGATATATAATGGGTGCGGTGGAAAGAGCATTGCTTTTAGGGTCAGAAAGACCTATTTTTCAAACACTGGCTTTGCCAACTACTAACTGTGTGGCATTGTCAGTTTCCTTATTCAAGCTTCCATCTTCGTGAAATGTGTACTCTGGCGGGGGTTCGTGTAAGGATACATATAAAATGGTTCCTGGCATACAGAATAGGTGCGAATGCCCTAATTTTTAATTATTAGAATCCCTAAGTTATGTCATTAAACTGTGTGTTACACTTGAGTAAACAATTTTGGCCCAGTGGATGATTTACAAAATACAAGAAAGTATGCAAAATGCAAGTAGAGAGCAGTATTTGAATTATAGTAAACCCTCAAGATATGTTAGAAATGATTGTGGTTGACAACTATTGATCCAGGGGGAAGCAAATCTATCCAAACTAATTATTCTGACCACTAACCACTCCTACCAGACAGTTCCAGACCTTGTATAGATACAATTCCCTATGATGAATGTGACCATTATATACATCTAAATGGCACCAATAAACTCAATAATAATTTTTTTAAAAACCTGTGACACATATGTCATAGCTGGCTGCTTGTTCTCATTGAAAGCTCTAAAAGAGTTACCATAGACTGTACAATCCATGACATCAGAGACCATCCCTGTCTTCCTCTGGTTAAATCTTGACCACCTGGCACAGTGCCTATTTGCTTAACAAAGTACTTGTTGAATAAATGAATGAGTGAAGGAGCTAATAGGTCCTAGATTATGATTACACATACGCCTCATATTCTGCCTGATATATAAATAGTACTGAATAAATGTTTGTGCAAATAAATTGTCAATAGAATTCATTATAAGTTTCTAGAGAAAATTGGCAACTTCCTTACACAATGTTTCCCATTATTTTAAAAATGTTATTTAGTGATACCATCAGCAGAGTGAAAAGCTGCCCATCCAAATACTTTTATTAACAGTCTTGCCTTTCAACTCAAAACTACTAGGTTCAAAGCAGGCACTCAAAATAGCTCTTTGAATGGAAAATTCTAATCATGCTTTTGACATTGTCATCTTTTCCTTGACACTTCAGTGCTGAGGAACAAACAAAATTATGAGGGAAAAAAGGCACAATTCTTTACAACTCAAAAATTGTTTGGCATTACTTCTACTCTTTAACTTGTTATGTGTACGTATTGAGTCATTTTTGAAAACGTATTTACGTATCTTCACTAAGGAATAAAACATAAAATCCTTCAACTGAGTTGTAAGATAGAATAATTATTGCAAATATTTTTTTCCCATTCAGTGTCTTTGGATCCTTGGCAGCCTTTTAGTCTTTGTTTGTAAAAATGGAGCTAAATGCATATTTAATTTATCTTCCACAACCATCTCAAGAGCAAAAAAAGAAGTATTTTTGACTGTGCTATCCAATAGCTAAAAACAAGATATTGTTAATTAGCCTCTTTCATATAGCTTATCAAAGAGATTAACAGTGTCATAACAATTTGGAAAGCACATAGTCTGAGGATGCAGAGTCTAAGCTAATTAATGCAAATGATAAGAAATTATATCCATTTTAGTTCTCTTCATTCCTTGTCTTAGCTCCTATGCTTTGCATAACGTAAAATCTGGAGCCCTTAATTTATCATATGTTTGTATTTTCTAAGTATAGTTTCATCACATACATATTTCCAGAAACATATTATGTTGTTTTCAATGTTTTTACATTTATGCAGTATATTTTTGATACAATTAATCTTTTGGGACCAACTCAACATTGAGTTTTTCACTAAAAAGCATATTGCCAATTCATCCTTATCATATCATCTAATTTTTTATATATTTTACATTATATGATATTCCAATTATGTAAATATGCCATATTTTATTTACTCATCCTCTTGTTAAAGAACATTTCAGCTGTTCCCAGTTTTTGCTGTTGTGAACAGTGGCCCTAATAACATACTTTTGGTAGCAGGGGGTGCCAGGAATCAAATTCAGCACCTTGCGCTTGGCTTGCCAGGCAGGCGCTTATGCTACTAAGGTATATCCCTGACCCTAATGACATTCTTAACCATATCTCTCGGTGTATCTATGGGGCAGGTCTTTAGGAATGTACTGAAGAACGGAAGTGCTAGTCTTAAATGTGAATGCTCATCTGTACAAAATACTTCCAAACGGTTTTCCAAATTGGTATTGCCATTTTCCAACAAGCAGTGTATATTTGATCTTATTGCTCCTTGTCTTCTCCAACACTTGATATTAGCAGACTTTTTGTTTTACAGTTAAAGTTAGTAATTATAAGTTCCTAATGATATTTTACTTTTCATGGTCTTATTTCATTATTCAAAAATAAAAAATAAAACAAATCAAAATATTAAAAGAGGGTCACGTACTAACAATAAGAGAATGACATAAACTGCATATTATGATTAATCTAATTTTGAGTACTTAAAACTCAGAGGATGGATTCTAGGAGAGCAGTACAGAAATCTTATCCCTGAAAGATTATTTCTAAAACATATTGATAGGAATAACAAAAGACTTGAAATAAATTGTTCACCACTATACCGTGCAGTGCAGGGCCTCATTTGTAGACTCATCTAATCCTCTCAGAGGTACGGCTGATCTATCATCCCTAAGAATGTCTTTGAGGCCTCTAAAAGAAAGATAATGCAAATTCACTGTGCCCTTGTTATCAGACTTTATGCCAGTATCACACACGTATGGGGGAAGCCTCTTAGGAGCCAAGTGGAAAGCTCATATGAGATTATATTTTCTCCTAGGATATGGTATTGGCCTCCCACCCAACTCTCCACTGACTTCCAATATATCCGAACTGATCAGTCAGTACAAGTCGCATGGATTTATGGATGTGCTGCATGACAAGTGGTACAAGATGGTTCCCTGTGGCAAGAGAAGTTTCACTGTGACTGAGGTATGGAAACATTGCTGATAATCTTGATGTCTTGTGTAGTTGTCACTTTAAAGAATGGGGAGAAATACTACTGCCTGGGCCTTAAAGTCAATGAGGTAGGTCATGGGTGGTAAACCTATGGGATGTGTCCATCATTTAAAGCACTAAGAGCTTTGCCATCACTGCCTAGGATATGTCATATACTAGGAACTCTGCTTGGTTACTGTTACCCTTAACTCTGCTTGGTTACCATTCTTATAGCAATTAAAAAGGAGATATGTTTGTCTTAGATTTAAAAGTGATGCTACTTGATGAGTAGTCTAAATTTATGCCTTTCCCTGTCCCTAAAGCTCCACAAGAGCAGACTAAATTTTGTTGTAAATTATAGCAACAGTATGTAGGACTGACATTAACAGTGTTTGGCTTAATCTTTTGGTTTAATCATTCGGTTTAATCATTTGGTTACGATGTGGATTTCAATACATCCTTTAAAATCTAATCAAAGCTTTGTTAATTTCCCACAGTAACTACTAACAAATCTTTTGTGGATTTAAAATTAGACACACCTTAACCAGGAATAAATACCTAGATTATAGAATCATGAATGTTTTTAAACTGGAAATGATAAATCCCCTTCCCATATTTGAGAAGATAATACCCAGAAATAATAAGTTATTTTCCCAAGGCACGTAAATAGAAATCTACTTACTTCTGTTGAAGTACTCTGTCTTTAGAGGATAATCAAAAATAAGCCTTAAAAATGAGGCAAAATAGGGGTGATTAAAATAGGAGACTGAAAACTGTAACCAGAGTCACAGGCTCAATGTTAAAAAATAGAAGTCAATTGAGTAAGTACAAAGTCATCTAGATATTAAGAAAAGCTATCTAAAGCCAAAAATAAGGGCTCCATATATTATCTATTTGCCAAGAATTCCCAAATAATTTTGTCCAAACAGGTCACTCTTCTGCACTCCAAGCCATGTAAACACTTTCCAGTTTGAAGTCTCATATTTTATTTGTTCAAACCTGAAGCCCTCTAAGTGTCCTTTTCTTCTTGTCCTTCATGTCTTGTTAGTGATGCTGATGTGCATCTAGTTACTCATTTAAGAATCATGTTAGGTCTTTAATGCCCCGATTCATACCTCACCATCTGCATCTATCAATAAGCCTCTTTCTATAAAATTGGTCTGAAATATGCCCATTTATTGGTATTTTCTCTCTCATAACTCAAGTCCAGTCTACTGGTCCCTCATCAAAGCACAATAATCCTTTAACTGGTCTTTCTTTTCACCCTTGCATTCCTCCAATTAGTCTTCTATGTAGCAGATCACTCTTCTACTAGGGGGCTGCAGAAGCCTCCTGTGTCCATTGGAACAAAATCTGAACTGTTTGCTGGGTATTCCACCTGGTGGGACCTCCCTGCCTATGTCTCAGCCCATCTCATGCCACTTTCTTCTGGACTCATTACAGGTGCACCATAATGAACATTATAGATAAGCTATACTAGGAGCTTCCTTATCTTGAGGTATTTACATGTCATTGCCTCATTGGCTTCAAATATCCCTCCCCCAAAATTAGCTCAACTAATCCCCCCACATTATAAAATCCTGGTTAAAAGCTTCTTTAGACGCTGATCAACTAATAGGAATCATATACTTCTTTAAGATTTCATATATCTCATATTATTTCTTAGCACTTGCTCATGATTTACAAATTTCACTATTTTAAAAATGTATTTGATCAGTTTATTTCTAGTTTATTTATTCATTAGACTGTAAGAATTCTGGCATTCTCAATGCCTCTTGTATAACAGTCATTCAATGAATAATTGTTAAATAAATACATCACAGGAACTGAACAACATACTGAGAAGAAGTTGGGGGGTAGAAGGTAAGAACATCAACAGGAGTGATGTTGGTGCTGTATTACAGGATTGAGTAGTGCCCCCAAAAGTCATGTCTATTCAGTTTTAAAATGTGATCCTCTTTCAAAGTACAATAAGTTAAAATGACAGCACGCTGGGTTCAGGTGGGTCCTGAATCCACCCCCGGTTTCTGTTTAAGAAACCTTATGAGGTCTGGCGTGGTGGTGCATGCCTGTAATCCTAGCACTGAGACAGGAAGATTGCTATGAGTTGAAGGCCAGCCTGAACTGTATAGTGAAACCCTGTCTCAAAAAGACAAAAAAAAAAAAAAAAAAAAAAAAAAAAAAAAAAAAAGCCTTATGAATGGCCACACAGGGAAGAAGATTAAGGGACAACAGAGACACAGACTGGAATATGCAGTTATGTAACTATAAGCCAAGGAATGCTAGGCATTTTGGGCTATAGCAAAAAGCTGGAGGAGAAGCGTGAAATAAATTCCTCCTCAGAGCCTCTAGGAGTCAACTCTGCTGACAACTGGATCACAGACTTATCACCTCCTGAACAGTGAGAAGGTAAACTTCTGTTGGTTTAAACCATTGGATTTATGATAATTTTTACAGCAGCCCTGTGAAATTAAGAACAATATATGATAGATTAGATAGACAATGATAGATAGACAGATAGATAGATAGACAACAGACAGAGGCAGAGGCCAGCCCATCAATGCTCTTGAACTTAAGTCTTCGTAGCTGTCATGAACAAAAAGGAATATAAGATGAATTGAGAAGTTTTGCAATCAGGAAAAAAAGAAGTTATTCTGGCTTCAATTCTAAATTCTAAATTCAGTCTTATTTTGAAAAATGACACTAATAACAGAGTTAGCAACATTTGCAAATGATAACAAAAATATTCCTGCTCTGGCTAATTCTTACATTGTTTTTCCCGGATATTGAAGGAAGCTGTTATTTGTGAATCAAAGAAAGCCCTGGGGAGGCACTGCATGCACCTTTCATATCCTCTGCTGTTTTGCAACCTACGCAACCTGCTGCAGAAAACAGGCCACTGAGAAGGACAGGATGTGCTCATCCAGTAAGGTTCATTGAGGACTCAGCAGGTGTCAGACATTGTTATGGAGATTCTGTGTGCATTACTAAACAAGACACAGAGTTGCCTGCTCCGGAGGAATCTTGAGTTTTATAAGAAGACAATATACAATAGAAAAAATACATAAGTAAATTAGCTATGCTCCACAGTAGTTGTTTATTCTGATGATGACAGCAGAGAAGAAGACCTCACTAAGAAGATGCGTATGCATAAAAAATTTGAAGGAAACCAAAAAATGTAGGGATTTAGGGAACAAGCATGTTCTGTTTCCCACCAGGTAATAGATAAAACTGTATGAGGGACATTAACTGACCATTTCTCGCTAACCCAGTGTAACACAGGCACTGCTAGCTTTACTTGAGAAATGTACACAGCCATTCCTAAAAGAAATAAAGTTGAGTTTACACAGTCAATTTATTCAGCCAAAAAAGTTAATGAACCAGTTGTTTATTAAATTTGTTAAATTTGCACAATCACTTGATGCGTTTTACCATTTGTAATGACCATAACAGACTCAAGCCAAGATCTCTGGCGGATGCAAAACTGCCCCCAATCATGTCCTCAAAGCCATATGAGTGAATGATTTTCACCTCGCTGGTTCTCACCTCTAGACTATTACCGTTTCAGAGGATTATCAGTTGAAAACATCGGTGGGAGGGACCATCTAACGCCCAGGGGAAGCCTGTGAGAGCGCAGGGCTCTGCCATCTCAGAACTCAACTCCACTGAAGCGTACAGAAGGGAACCTGTACTTGGAGCCACACTAGTTCAACTGCTAACAAAAATCTATTCCACGTTTATTCCAGTGTGATAGTATGTAGCATGAAGTGTGATAAATTTGAAGTTGTACATTGCTGGATTTGAACACAGTCTCTGCCATTAACAACTGCTCTTCAACCTGAGTTTCTAGCTCTGCTATTACATGCTTTGCTATTTTGTTCCAATGTATAAATAAGTCTGGTATAATATGATTTGTCATTTTGTTCCAAGATGAAGAGATCATTTATGGAAATGCCTAGAAGGAAAACTGATGCAGTAAAGTATAAATAATAGGAGCACTAATCCTTCCTCTTTCATCCAGAAGAAACTTTCTATGACTCATAGACGTCTGCAGGTCTCTTCCTGTGTTTCTTTTATAAGTAAGGAAATGTATCTAGAGGACTTCCAACATATTTCTTCATACTTTATTGGCCAAGATTGTGTTGATCTGCTCATACCTAAAACAGTCACTTGAACAACATAAGATATAATTTCAGACTATGAGTTCCTTGTGCAGAAATGGCATCAGCATGATGGATTTTGCCTGCCACAACTCATCCTCTAGAACTGGTGATGGAGCAACCTTCCTTTAAGACATGATTTTTAACAAGCCATATTCTGGGAAAAGGCAGTTGGAAATGGCTTGATGTAGTCAGCTGGAAGTATTGGCTGAGGGATTGTTATCAGATCAAGTTGAGATCATTAAGACAATCCTGGACCAAACTCACACATTAGTGGAATTTGTTTGGATTTTTTTTTTCTTTTTGGGTACTAGGATTCAAACTCAGGACCTTGCCCTTGCCAGGCTGGCATTTATGCCCCTGAACTATATCCTTAGCCTTAACATTAGCAGAATTTAAAAGGTAGGAAGAAGTAGAAATGAGGAGTAGAAATGCATCCTAAGATCTTTGGGGACAGAAGTAAAAGAGGGTTCAGATGTCATACTGTGTCTGTAAATAGTAGGGGAACTCTCCTATACCCAGTTTCAGGAAATGTTATTAGCAAATCGATCATTTCTTTCCTGAAGACAGTATACCATGCTTTGGCATGTCCTGGTCTATGCAACAAGAAGCTGTTTGATGATGCTTACCTGTATGCACCTGCACAGCAAAATATGCCCGTCTGCACTGCCTAGGATATCTGTCTTAAACAACATAAGACATAATTTCAGAATACAAAGATAAAGCCTAATTCATCAGCTGAGCAGGGTCTCCCCTGCGAAGGTCCTCTTTCTGATGGATTTTCCTTTGCTCAACACTCCAGCACACCACAGAGTCTCCATCAGCTTTTTTTTT